CCCCCTCCCTCCTTTCTTCCTTCCTTCCCTCCTTCCTTCCTTCCTTCCTTCCTTCCTTCCTTCCTTCCTTCCTTCCTTCCTTCCTTCCTTCTATATATCAGTCATCTGTTATCTATTTACCTTCCTTCCTCTCTCTCTCTCTCTTCTTTCTGTCTGTCTGTCTCGATCAATCGATCGAACTGAGAGTCCCAATGAATTTAGTGGAACATTTCTGAGTTTGCATCGCTCTGGATTTTCTGGATTTGCTGTATCTATGCAGGGCAGATGGTGCAGGAGGGCTAGTGTTTGTGGTTGCCAACTGGCCTGGGGGGGGAAATGTGTGGCAAAATTCTGAGGCTGTCCTTTCGTCTTCTCTTGGAGTGAAAGAAACATTTGGATGTACATTTTTTGGGGTCCAATTTGCATTGATTGGTTCTCTGCAAATGATGACCCCCCCCTTCTGACACTTAAAGACGTAAGGGAGTTGTGATCTAATAGAGCGAGTTTGGTGTCGTGGTTAAGAGTGGCGGACTCTAATCTGGAGAACTGGATTGGATTCCCCTCTTCTCCACATGAAGCCAGCTGGGGTGACCTTGGGTCAGTCACAGTTCTCTCAAAACTCTCTCAGCCCCACCTACCTCACAGGGTGTCTGTTGTGGGGAGAGGAAGGGAAGGTGATTGTAAGCCACTCTGAGACTCTGAGTGAAGAGTGGGGTATAAATCCTCCTCCTCCTCCTCCTCTTCTTCTTCTTCTTCTTCTTCTTCTTCTTCTTCTTCTTCTTCTTCTTCTTCTTCTTCTTCTTCTTCTTCTTCTTCTTCTTCTTCATCTGTCCTGACTTTTCACTGATGCGTCCTGTGAACTAATAGCCCCTTTCTCCTCATTTCTTCAACTCACAGACTTGATCTCACACCAGACAATACTCTGTGGGTCGGAGCGTGGTGGATCGGGTTTCTCGGTGCTGGCGCTGCTGCCCTTTTGACTGCCATCCCCATCTTGGGTTACCCTCAACGCCTGCCAGGTATGTCACAAGTCAAGAGTTCAGGTCATGTCCTTCCTGAGAAGCTGGAGGGCTGGGCAGAGGCTTGAAGGCAGCTGCCTGCTCTCACTTCCCCCTGCTTTCTGAATACAAACAGAAGTGTTTATTTATTTAAGTTACTGAAACCATTTTTATGCCGCATTTCCACCAAAGCAGGGTCTGCAAGATGGCAAGCATAAAAAGATTAAAATATTTAAACAATTAAAATACAGTTAAAATTTCAAAGGGAGATAGAGAGACTGCTGAATTGCAACTGATAGTAAAGCTCAAGGCAGTGCATCCTCCTGGACTGAATCGAGATCTAGGTTTACTGTCTCATTACCAATGCTGATTTCTCCACGCCTAGTACCTCTCTGCATATCACATGTAATCCAATCATGCCTGCTATTCTCATTCATATGCTATTGTCATTCGGCATCTGCAGTCACTCCATTCTCCAAGATATAAGGAGAGACGGACTCACATTCTAGCCGTATCTGAAGAAGTGAGCAGTGACTCATGAAAGCTTTCACATATTTTGTTAAGATGCTACTAGACTCTTGCTCTTTTCTGCAGTTAAAATTATAAAAAATCACCTAAAGCCACATAAACAAACAACACTAAAAGGAGGACCAATAACTGTCACTGGGGGCACGCTAGATGAAACAAGAAACTCTGGAGAGCTGTAAAGAGGGGCTGTGGCTCAGTGGAAGAGCCATCTCCCTGGGAAGAAAGTTCCAAAGTTTTGGTGCCATGATGGACTACATGATGAAAACAGTCCAAAGTAACCCAAAACAAATAGAAGTGCTTCAGATAAAGACCATTAGAACGTAGACACTTTTTCAACCCAATGTCTTCAGGGATCAGTTCACATCACACTTGTGTCATAAGGTGTCGGTTCAAGGCTTGCTTCACGCGTTTGCCGGCTTCCTAATCGCGTATCACTCAAGGCTTTTTCAAAAGCCAAGCATCTCCCAATTTCCTTTAGAATAACGCTTTCAATGGGGACCTCCATCTCCCATGTCAACAGTGGTCTTTATCTGAAGCACTTCTATTTGTTTTGGATTACTTTGGACTGTTTTCATGAACTGAGTGGTTTACATTATTTGAAGAAAGTAATTGTCATAATATTGTGGTAATCATGTTCTTTGTGACACTATATAAAAAGTATTCTACAAATATTTTTTGAGAATTCTGTACACAGTTATTTTTTGGTTTTTGGCAATTTTCCCTGTTTGGTTTCCGCCCCCCCATCTCTGGGGAGGGGCGTGGCTCAGTGGAAGAGCATCTGCTTGACATGGAGGAGGTCCCAGGTTCAATCTCCAGCATCTCCAGTTAAAGGATTTGGCAGTAGGAGATGTGAAAGATCCTCAGCCTGAGGCCCCGGAAAGCAGCTGCCAACCTGAGTCGTCAGTCCTGATCTCGATGGACCAAGGATATGATTCAGTACAAGGCAGCTTCATGTGTTTTCAAGGACAGAGATGGACAGAAGTAGGGGAGGAGCTGTGGCTCAGTGGAAGAGCCTCTGCTTAGCATGCAGAAGGTCCCAGGTTCAATCCCTGGCATCTCCAGTTTAAAAGACCCAACAGTACATGATGGGAAAGACCTCTCCCTGAGACCCTGGAGAGCTGTAACGAGGGGCTGTGGCTCAGTGGAAGAGCCTCTGCTTAGCATGCAGAAGGTCCCAGGTTCAATCCCTGGCATCTCCAGTTTAAAAGACCCAACAGTACATGATGGGAAAGACCTCTCCCTGAGACCCTGGAGAGCTGTAAAGAGGGGCTGTGGCTCAGTGGAAGAGCCTCTGCTTAGCATGCAGAAGGTCCCAGGTTCAATCCCTGGCATCTCCAGTTTAAAAGACCCAACAGTACATGATGGGAAAGACCTCTCCCTGAGACCCTGGAGAGCTGTAAAGAGGGGCTGTGGCTCAGTGGAAGAGCCTCTGCTTAGCATGCAGAAGGTCCCAGGTTCAATCCCTGGCATCTCCAGTTTAAAAGACCCAACAAGACCCAACAGTAGGTGATGGGAAAGACCTCTGCCTGAGACCCTGGAGAGCTGCCACCAGTCTGAGTAGACAATACTGACCTTGATGGACCGATGGCCCAGTTCAGTATAAGGGAGCTTCATATGTGTACATTGCCTGCCTCTTGATCATGGGATCTATGTAAATTTATACACATGAATACACATTCTCATCTAAGGGGATCCATAGATAATCTATCTTTTAAGCAGAAAATTAGAATGGAAAGGTGAGGGGTATGAAACCCTGCCCCCTCCACCTCTGTGCTCTGTTGCTTTCATCGTTCCTCCTCCAGCCCAGCTTGGAGCCAAGTGGAAGAGAAGCCATAAGAGCAGGGCTATTTTTGGGCAGGAACGCACAGGAACGGAGTTCCGGCTGGCTCCTGAGCTGGCCACTTGGCCACACCCAGCAGGAACTCATTAGCATAATAGGCCACACCCAACAGCAGAAACTCATTAGGATTGGCTACATTAGGGGTGTGTGGCCTAACATGCAAAGAAGTTCCTGCTACAAAAAAAGCCCTGGGTTTTGAGAATAAACAAAGTAAACAGAATAAGAAGCAAAAAGTGGGTGTGGCTGGATGACCACACTTCTGGTAACATGGGGTGTGGCCTAATATGCTAATGAGCTGTGCTGTCAAGGTGTGGCCTAATACGCTAATGAGTTTCTTGTGTTGGGTGTGGCCTATTATGCTAATGAGTTCCTGCTGGGCTTTTTCTAAAAAAAAAAAGCCCTGCATAAGAGCAATGGAACATGAGCCGGTAAGGCCAGTGAGGGGGCAAGGTTTAATTCCCTTCACTATGGGCTCTATTTTTTGTAAAAAATACCCAACACCCTCTGTACCCAGCTTTAGGCACGAACAGATGGACAGTTTTCTCTGTAGCTGTGGATCGGTGGCAGCTAGCTTGACCCTCAGTTCACCATCGCGTGGCCCATGGACACAAGAGAGAAACTGCTATAAGTCGAAATGGGGGAGAAGCAATATATTAAAGAAGAGAACAGTGTGCTCTTGTTCACCTGGCATTCATGCACCCCCTTGTCATTCAAGCCTCTGCCCAGGTTCAGGGAATTGTCCTCCTACAGTGCCAGTATGCCTATGCGGGGGGACAAGAAATTCAATGCAAATTCACTCACGCGCCTCTGTGTTTCTCTCTGTGGGATTCTTTGTGTATGTATGCATGTGTTTGCATAGGTTTCCTACCTTCCCACATGTATATGTCTGTTTTTTAAATCCTGGCTTCTGCATTGTTAGAAACAATCTTGTGTACTTTCCCACCCAGATTAATGTAGCCTGCAGGTCTAAGAATGCCTTCTCAGCCTTCCGAAACCTTATTCCCTTAGCTTTTTTTTTTTTTTTTAAAG